AATATTGGTGTAAGAGGTGGAAGCTACAACGAATAAAGCGACTAATGGAAATCTCTGAGCAGTCACACTAAAACGTTTCTGATATAGCTCATATATATATTATATATACTGTAGTCACAAACGTAAGCCTTTTTTTTTTTCAGAACGAATTAAATCAACTACAATGCTAGAAGTAGATGCTGTATAGTATATACGCATCTCTGTAGTATTTTTTATCAGTAATTCAGATTTTAAACAAGAAGTGGCGACGACAACATGCTACATACCTACAACCAAAAATATCTACCTTATGTATTATGTTTACCTATAAAATCGTATCACGAATCTAATCATTTCTCTTCAATTTCCCTTTTTTTCTTCTTATTTTCTGAAATATCTCCCTAATGTGCTTTGTACACATGGTTAAATTGGATTTAAAAAGCACTTAAATTTTAATTCATTTTTATAGATTCATTAAATTTTATTTAGTATTAATAATTGTTTTTCCCGCATATATCCCAATATTACTTAATAGTTAATACTGATAAGTAAATTTACTTACCAATTCAACAGAACCATAATGACGCCTGCTGAACACACCACGTCGAGATATGAGATCATTGGAAGACGATCTGAAAAAAGTAAATAATTGTTTTAAATTAGAATATATTGTATTTTGTGATTTTGTTTCAATTACAATATTTTTTTTTTTTGAATGGTAGGTTTTAGAAAAAAAATTGTTTTTAGAGAAATAAGAATTTACACAGTATTTATTTATTTGCTTATAATTTAACACAAAATTATTTTTATTTCTATACCTGTCATTCGTAATCAGGTTTGTTATTTTTTTTAATAACTTATACTTTGAATTTTTATGAAATTATATTTCTGAATCGCACTATTGAAAAAAATATTAATGTATTACATAGTATTTATTATATAATTATACCAACTAACTAACTAGTAGTTATTTATTATATAACCCTTAATGAATATTCATTGTACCAACGCTTTATTTTGGCCTAGCTAGAATTTATTTGTAGAAAACTTAAATTAATATTGTAAGAAATATATATAAGTTATAAAAAATAATATAACAGAAACTTTACAATTAAGAAAATCACGGTGATCTAAATAATCCTAGTAACTATCAAATTGTAAAATATACAAGTAACAAGTTACCTATGTGTACATATTATAATATATTATGATGAGATAAAAATTTAAAACAGCTTTAGTAAAAATTTACATATATTTAAATTTGATGAATAAATAAATTAGCAACTTTTTAAATATTATGGCAACTAATATACGATATTATACAAAAATTGATCAAATAAATATGGTTTAATTTACT